AAATTCTGTTTTAAAAGAGGGCCGCGTTAATTAATTTATTATGGCGTTAATTGGATGGAAATTTGCTCTACCACTTTGAATTATTTTTAAAAAAAAAAAAAAAAATTAAAAAATTAAAAAAGATTAAATAAAAAAAAGTAACAAAAAACCGCCCCCCCCCCCCCCCCCAAAAAAAAAAAAAAACAGACACGAGATACCGTTTTAAAAAAAATTATTAAAAAACAGTGACAAAAAGAGTCAAATACACAGAAATTTGAAAGGAATGGAAATTAATTTATCCTCATCTTCTTCGCCCATGGAGTACTTGTAAGATTTGATTCGAAATTTCTTATGCCGACTTCGTTTCCTCAGCTGTTTGGCATAAGCATTGTGATCATCCAAGTAACTTAAGATTTGAATCCGACGCCTTTTGAGCTTCGGGCCTTGTTGTGATGGGGTTTCTAGTGTGGGAGGAGAGGTCAGGAAAGCAGGATTTAAGGGTGGTGGTGGGGTGAGGCTTTCTTTTTCAGGCTTGTGTTAATTCAGGTGTTACGTTGAAGGGGTTTAGGGGAGTGGACAATGCAGCTGTTGTTGCTGTTGAAGAATCTTGTGTACTTGATGTTAAGTCTGAAACACCGCTTGTTATTTCTTCCGGTCGTGTACAAGCCAGGTATCTGTTTTGCAACTGAAAGTATCGCTTAGCTTTCTCATCGTCACGAAGATCGTTTCGAGAAAGCACGTCATCCATGTTGCCCTTTATTTCTTGCATAGCTGGAAGAAGCGGGACCGGCGAAAGATTTTGCTGCTTTAGATATTTTAGAATCTCTTGAGGAATATTTTTTTTGAAACCTTGCTTGGTTAAGGCCTTCCTCACTGGGCAGGACGTTTGTTCGCAGTCGACAATTATCAGGGGCACCCAGCGAGAAGATGGTTCAAAACCCCTTAAACATAGCATTGTCGAACATATTTTTAGTATTTAAACGGTAGATACAGGCATATTTTTATCCCCCCAAAATTTTTCATCTGTTCGGATTTCCTAGCTGAAAGTCTAGTGATCCGAAAATTATAGGGATCAAAACTTAGGATCCCGAAAATTCTAGGTGACCTTTTTAGGGTAAACATCTGTTAAAAATAGGCAATTATACCATTTTTAGATGTTCGAAAATCCTAGCAGAGTCAGGCAAGCAAGAAATTTTACAACAAATGCTCCGAAAATTCTAGATCTCAAATGGGCTTCAGAACAGATATTTTCCAAACACTGACGTTGAGTTCCCCTCAATTATCTTGGGCAGTAATTCTCAGATCAATAAGCAGATATCCAAAAGGTCTTTTTACAGCCTTTTCGTACTGGTTTAAAAAGAAATCAGTTTGCCCGGGATACATTTGCTTGGCCAATTGCACTTTGTCTCGTGGATTCTTGAATAACACCAAATAATGGCTGTTCATGTTTATGCTGCGACTACCTTTCCCCTGGTGGAATAGATTCTGCACGGTATAAATCACGTTTAGATTGCGATGATGAGAACCACCAGTAAAGAGGTTCACAATTCACTTGTCTTTACTGGCGTTAATCATCTGATCATCAAACACGATCAAATTCCGTTTGTTCACATCAAAATAGGAATCCCGATCCAAAGCCGTAGGTATTCCCTTGACGACTTTAATGTGTGGCATGGCAACAAAGGTGACTTTGGCCTGATTGGTCCGTTGGAAATCACTCTGCGCATGCGCTTTACCACCCATTCCCGTCAAGATGGCTGCTGGCAAGAGTGGAATAGCCGATCGGTTTTCTTCACAAAAACAAAGAGAAACGATCAGTTGTTCTTTTTTCTGTTGTTTTTAGATGCGAATTTTTTGCTAGCAGCCGCGTTTTTAATGGCGGGAAATGGTGGCTTGTATTTTTTGCAGGCGTCGCGAAAACTTTTCTTCAACATGCGAAGGGCTTGCAAGAGGCTCCTTTCGCATGTAGGAGAAAAGACGGCGAATCTCGAGAAATGCCCCGGTGTCGCGTAGTTTACCGATGCAAAAGTGGTTGTTTTAGGTGCGGGAGGAAAAGTGTTGTTTCTCCTTTCGTTAAGACTAATGGACAGTTGATT